TAAAATAGAAAATATATATATTAAGGGTAAAAATGATGTAACAATTGTTGTTCCTTTGAAAAATTTTGCCTTAAGGCTGCTTTAAACGACTTGAGAGATACTTGTTTTTTTTTAAATCAGATGGCAAATTGTTCCATTTAGCAATTGCATTAATTAAAARTGTTCTACCTCCTTCAGTTTTCTCAATAAGCTTTGCAATATTGGTTTTGTAGATTTTTTCCAAGTATACCGCCATGAGGACAGTTGTTGTTACAAATCACGAAGAAACAATTAAAATGACCATCCTTGAACCTGCCATTGGAATCAAAAAGAGCCAGGTTCAGGTAGAAACAACAGTATAAAACACTTGAGGATTCAAATTAGAATGTTGATTAATTTAGTCTTTATTGCTCTTTTCAAATTGTTTCAGGAGTACATTGATTATTATGGTACAGCAGGAATACAGCACATCGCACTGAACACACCAGATATTATATCAACTGTGAGTACTATATATTCAAAGTTGTCTTACGCTGCCAATAAAATATCACATTGCTAATTATTGGAACTCGTGTTTCTAAATGATAATCACTACTTGTCAGGCAGACCATTATTTTCATTTTTATCTTAACATGGGATTCATTTGCGAATTTAATGGAGAGCAGCATTCTTGACAAATAGATAGGTGGATCTCAACATATCAAAAAAACAGGAAGGCSAACCAATCAAATAAAAAAACAACAACAACTGAATAAAAAAATGCTTAAGCACTTTCAGAGAGACTGTGCAATATTGGGTTGCGATTTGGTATTACTAAATACTTCGATACACGGATATTGTTGTATTATATTTGTTCTTCTTTTGTGATTATTATTTTTGCTCGTAACTTTCCTTAAATCAAGGTTGCAAACTTGAAAGAGCGAGGAGTGGTGTTCCTCTCTATACCAGACACGTATTATGACAATCTGAGGGAAAGGCTGAAGAAAGCTAGCATTACTGTTAAAGAAGATCTGGACATCGTAAGTTGCACTTTAGAATGAATTAATCCTTGTTCAATTTCCAGCTGCCTACAAAGCTGTCATTACATAAAAATACTCTCTCTTAGACAAGCGACCTCAAAGACTGCAAAAAGCAACTCAAACAGAGAGAAAGGAGCAAAGATTACTGCCTTTTTTTATGTTAAATGAAAAGATTTGATCATTTGGCATGGTCCTATGTCCTCCTTGGAACTATCGCCTTGTGAATGCGGATGCATGACCGAATGGTCACCTTTTGCGAAAGTTTATGTTCCTTTTTTTTTCTTAATTTTCTTTTGTTTGTGCTGCTGTTTATATTGTTTTAAATTAATTGCTTGCGTTTCACGGGCGAGTCACGCCTCATGCTATGATTGCGTTTCGCACTTGGAGTCGTACACTCTCTATATCACGATGCGTTTCGCACTTGGAGTCGTGCACTCTATATCACGTGGAGACGGGATCGAACTTTGCATCAGAACTATATTTTGCGCCTTTCTCTTTTCTTTATTTCCAATATAAATGTAGTTACAAATGACTTTTTCTCCCTTTTGAAATTGTTAATTTTTATGATGAATTTAAATTTTATAAGAATATCACTTTGAACAATATAAATTAAAAAAAAATATTTCCATTGAAGGAAAAGAAAATGAATAAAAAACTTCCAAAAGTGCTATGAAAAAGGGTCACCCATCAATTGGATGGGCTCCTTTTCCACCGATGAGGGAGATGATTAGCCGGACCCTAAGCACTAATTACTAACCCCTTGTTTTAGATATAACACATCGCGTATTATTTATTCCAGGCACTCGAGGACCGATCTTGAATGTGGGACTGAAAAATTCTGACATAAACAAATTTTAATGTCAGTTTTCTTTTTAAAATTGTTAGACAGAAAAAACGTTTCCAACATTATAAACAAACTATCAAGAATGAACATGGTCTTTTTTTAAAGGCCGTTTTTACTCTATTGCTACATGTGTCTGAGAATGTGCCGGAAGAAATACGTTGCGCATGGAGTCCTACACTCTACATCACGAGGGTACGGGATCGAACCTTGCATCAAAACCTTATGCACTTATGGTTTTATCTCTCTTTTTTTCGATTTTTTTCCTGACCTTTCCATAAATACGTAGTCACAATTATTTTTCTTAAATATTTTCCTTTTCTTTGTTTCCTCCTTCTGCTTCTTCTTTTTTTGCTCTTCTTTTATTATTATGATTATTTTTGGCCGGACTTTAAAATTGAACAAATAAATCTTCTACAATTGTAGATTCTTACAACATAATCTTTTCACTCCAAAACATTGTAATGCGCAAAGGCGCCTTTTTCCTTTTTGAATTTTTAAATTTTATGATGAATTCTGATTTTATAAGAATATCACTTCTGGAGGTGAGAGGAATATTAAAGCGGTAGGTCCGGAAACAAAATGATATTTCCCTTATAGTAGGAAATTCGCCACGTCGTGTTAAAGTTATACACCGGGCACTCGGTGACCGGCCCTGCCATGTGGGACGGCGAAAATTTCTTTTGGCAAAACAAATCTTAGTGTTATAGAATCTAAAAATAAAAGTAAAATGTAAGTGAATGCACATGACCGGTGCAAASAAAAGCACTTGACGGTTAGCCTGAGCTGCCTCGGCGAACCGCCTACTCACATGACATGACGTTCATGATGAACAAACAAGAACAGATTTTTTTTGTACAATATAAGTTTCAGAAAAATTATATTTCCATGGCATGGAATGAAAAATAGGAGAAAAAAACTTCCAAAAGTGCTTTGAAAAAGGGGGAAAAAACTTCCAAAAGTGCTATGAAAAATTGGATGGGCTCCTTGAGGGAGGTGATTAGCCGGACCCTAAGCACTAATGGCTAGTCCCTTGTGTAAGAAATTCCTCACATCGTATATTTATATTTATTATATATACATATCAATGAGATACCAGGTTTTCTCTAGTTGTGAAAATGCTATATTTGAACCATGAAAAGATATCACATCTTTCACATGTGAAGATATCATTGTTGGCATGGTGACGCTGCATTTTTTCGGCCAATTAGATCAATTTTTAATAAAGGTCGATATATCGATATGTTTTCGCTACTTTCACTCGTGAGATATCGATTGAACACTCGAAGATAAAATTAGTATTTCCGCGCGCCCATGTAATATCCTCTATTTATATTTCAG